AGCAAACTCTTCCTAATGGCAAAATATGCAATTTAGTGCCTAAGGAACACATCATTCATTTATCCATTTACCCTCCACATGGAATAATGATAAAAATTAACCATGTATTAAGCCACAAGTAAAACCACAATATCTATCACAAAGCAGAACTCTAACAGGCCACATTCTCTAATTACAATCCAATAAAATTAGAAATTAACAATAAAAGAATGACAATTTTTTAAAAGTTTTACTTTAAAAATTTTAAACATAATTTTAAATAATTCTTAAGAGGAAACTAAAACTGAAATTACAAACTATTTAGAAAGAATAGCAATAGATTTAGAAAATCTATAGAACAATGTCAAAGTGGTATTCACTGGAAATTTTGTAGTCTTACATATTTTATAGAAAATTAAAAAAAAATAATAAATGGAGAAAAATACAATTTAAAAGATTACAAAAAGAAGTAGAAGGAAAAAAATAAAGACAAAATGGGAAATTAATGAAATAAAAAATAATAGAAAGTAAAGATTAAAAATGTAAAATTAATAGGACTATTAAACATGATCAATAAGTCAAAAATAAATGGCTTGAGAAGATCAAAATATAGAAACCTCTAGCAAATCTGATTAAGAAAAAAGGAGATGATACAAATAATATTAGATATTAGAAAAGACATTATATATTTAGAGGAAATTTTTAACTTATTAGAGGACAAAATACTTTATGCCATAAAAACTGACAAGCTGGGTGAAATGAATAGCTCAGGAACATATAAAGTAAGAAAAATTGATTCAAAAAAAGTTAGTAACCCTGCAAAGAACAAAAAAATGAAAGAAATCGTAGAGAAACCCAACTTTTAGATCCAGAGACAATGGTGAGCTAAAATGGATTGCTCGCTCTTCTCTCTGAATTCAAATCTGTTTTTACAAATAAGTGAGAAGGAGGTTAATGGATTCCACAATCGAATCCAAAAAGTGTGAGAAATTCCCCAGTGGTGAAACACTGGAAACTTGACAATTAAAAACAGTAAAAAGACAAAGATGTCTGCTCTTTCTAAAACTAGAGAACATATACTAAAGTTTCTATCTACAAGAAGTTAAGAAAAATAGAGTTGCAACTATTAGAAATCAAGAGATAAAACTATCTAGGTAATCCCAGAAAACCAACTGAAGGACAACTCATACTATTAAGAGAGTTCAGTGAGATAGCCAGATAAAACAATCAAAATTTTAAAAATTGATAGCCTTCCTATATACCATCAATAACTGACCATAAAATGCAATGGTATGCAATGTAAAGGACTCACAATATCAAACTCCATAAAATACCAAGAAATAAACCTATCAAGAAATATAAAACCTAAATGATGAGTTATAAAATATCACAGAAAGACATAAAGATCTGAATAGATGGAGAGAGATACCATATTCCTAGATAGAAAGATTTCAGAACTGTTAAAGGAAGAATTCTTCCACAAACTAATCTATAAAGCCAATTTCAATAGGACTTTTTATAAATCTTGACAAACTGATTCTAAATTTCACAGGGAGGAAAAATGCAGGAATATCCAAAAACATTTTTTAAATAACAGTAAGAACGGACTTGCCTTACCAGATAACAAAACATGCAATAAAAGAATAGCAAGTAAAACAATGTGGTATTGTCACGGCAACAAAATAAACAGGCTAACAGTAAGTGTCCAGAATCAGATCCTTAGGAATTCAGTTTATGAGAAGGTGGCATTCCAAATCAATAGGCAAAGAGAGAAAGACAACATAGTTATCAAACACTCCTATCTTTCAGGGACAAAATATAATTAAATTCTTAACTCATACCACATATAAAAATTAACTCCAGATGCCTATGAAAAGCCTTTAGGTAAAAATAAAATGATTTTAAAGTATTAGAAGAAACGATAGAAAAAGTTCTATGATCTTAGGATGTGTGGCAGAGACTGCTTTACCTACCCAACATTCATTCTTTATTTCCTTATTAATAGCAGAATCCTAATTTTAATATAGGCACACTATCACCAAGACATTTCCCAGTCTCTTTTGCACTTAGCTGTATTAGGTGAGAAAGGGTTATCTGGGACTTCCAAGAAACCTACTGAAAAGAGAGAGGATATTCAAGTGTAATGGCTGAAGCTCTAGTAGTAATTTTGGACAATGTGGTGACCTTGAAATAGAAGTCATGTGTGGGATAGCAGAGCAGAAAGATAGGAACACAGTATTCATGACACCTTCAAGCCACTATATCTACCTTAGACTATCTACCTTGAGTTGTATATTCTGTGAGAGAAAAGTAGCCTATTTTGTTGAATCTACTGTTAATTCATTTTATTACCATTTTATGTAGTTGAACCTAATCTTAAGAAATATAGGATGAAAAAAAAAAAAAGAAATACAGGATGGGAAAGGCGTTCCTAAGTAAGCAAGACACAAAACCTAGAAGTCATAAGGAAATGACTGACATGCATGATTTTATAACAATTTAAAATTTCTGTATAAAACCAAATAATATGTATATTCCCTCCTAATAATTAGGGATTTGAAAAGTTTTAAATTTTTCACTCATTAGATTGACAAAAGTTCAAGATAAAAAAACAAGTATTGGGAGGATTTATGGAAATGGTCATTCTTTTTACACTGTGGGTGGGAACTGTAAATAAGATAAGCTTTTTAGAAGGCAATTTGGCATTAAATCTTTTCATGTATATACCTTTTCACCCAGAAATTCTTGAAAAATACGATGTAAATAAAAGGAAGTTCATTCCAGCACTATTTGTAATAGCAAAAGTTTGTAAGCCATCTAACTCTTCATCAGTAAAGGAGTGGTTAAAATTTACAATATGTTCATACTATAGAATACACTGCTATTAAAACACACATTGGGGGCTTCCCTGGTGGCACAGTGGTTGAGAGTCCGCCTGCCGATGTGGGGGACGCAGGTTCGTGTCCCGGTCCGGGAAGATCCCATGTGCCGCGGAGCAGCTGGGCCCGTGAGCCATGGCCGCTGAGCCTGTGCATCCGGAGCCTGTGCTCCGCAATGGGAGAGGCCACAACAGTGAGAGGCTCGCGTACGGCAAAAAAAAAAAACAACACACACACACACATTGGTATCAAAATAAATGAGGTTGACGTGTATGTACTGATATAGAAGAACTTCATGACAGGAGCAATAATTATAGTATGACCTTTTTTATATGTAGACATAACATATGTTTATTAGCCCATATATACGTACGAAATAAATAGAAAGGAAATTGGAAGGACCCACAGCAAACTACTGATAACAGTTACTTCTGGGGGTCAAGGGAGACCTGACTTTTTGCTTTATAAATTTTATTTTTGAATCTTTAAAAATGAATCCATGCGTTACTTATATAATAATAAGAAACAAACAAATGTGAAAAGAAATCACTGACTTGGAAATACACCCTATAAGTTCACTGAAAAATACCAAATAAAGAAAACAGAGCTAGTGCTTAAGATGAAAGACCCAGGAATTATGAAAAATTAAAAAACAGCCTTAAAGGGCAGAAAGGTGAAGGATAAAATTTTAAAATTAAAAGGATTAACACCTACCTGAAAAAGAACTGATCTGAAATTCAGCAAAGTAACAGGAATATGAGAGAGACATAAAAGTGGTAACTATTAGCCATCATCACCCACCAAAAGACTGTACATTTTGGATTAAGAAAATACCCCACACACATTCACTCTTCCTAGCCACACTCAAGTAGTTGCATAAAGGTGGGAAATTATAATGGGAAGTTAAATTATGATACATACAAAAACAATTATAAAGTCATCAATTTTAAAATCTGACAGTCCCAATGAAAAGAATGTATGACCCAATCTAAGGTAAGGTAAATGAAAGCGTTAAAATTGCAAATAGTGTTCCCAACAAGGTGCTTGTGGAAAAATACCTTGATTTAATTTGACTCAGTAGTTGATACAACAGAGTATATTGAAAAAAACATTGTGAGAATTAAGAGATCTAGATTCTAGTTCTAGATCAGCCCCCAGTATAGCAACATAACCTTGAGCAAGTCACAACTTATCTAGGCATCACTTACTTCATTTGTAAAATGAGAGGACCTGGGTACAGGATCTCTAAGTTCTGTAAGATCTCTAAGGATATTTAAATTTCTAAAGAAATATATCTAAGAAACAGAACATTAACTTCTGTTGTCCAAGCTGTAGATCTGCCTGATGAGTTGTACACAGCAGTGGAAGTTTGTTTATGAGATGCCATGGTATTTGGGAGATAAAATTCAATGAGACGTTAGGAAGTATCCCAGAGAACGAGTGACCTCCTTTAGCTAAGGAGAAAAAGGAAATTCTTTGGCCAACTGGTTTTATTGAGCCACATAAAAAAAATCATTTTTACCTGAAATGATCTAAATCAAATGGTTTAACACTAAGACCTAAATACTCAGAAAACCAAGCACTTGGCACCATTTGTGATTGGAAACTGGGTAAAGTCATTACAATACAATGTAACTTTAGTTTACTCTTCCAGCTACTACTCCTCTATACAAACTTCCTTTTCCTGGGAGAACAGTCATCCCATTGTCACAAATACATTCCTTCACTGATATCATTGCATTTAGTATGTCTTTCCCAGAATACCACTATCATTCAATAGACATTTACTGTATGTGTTTTCATACTGTCCATTATTTTTATACACATGGTTCTCATTCAAGCCAACTTGAAAGTTCCTGTGGATGAGAAGCATATCTTCTTCTATTGTCTAACTTCCCTCAACAGATTACACTCTCAACGTTTGTTGATTTAAAAATTCACAAATTATCTCTTTTAATTAAAGTCTGAGTTTTGGGAAATTAATTTCGCACCTACATTCTGACTCCTCATTCTTATGTAAATATGTTCTTTTTTGTATTAAGGAAAACAAATTTAAAATAAGTTTAAAAAAAAACCTTCATAAATATGAATCAGGGACAGGTAATCAGTATTTTAAGACATTTAACAATTGATTTTCTTTACCAATTTATTTTCATTTCTCTTGTTTTAATTCTTCCTCCCATTGGAAATCTGTAAATAAACAAGGCAAAACTTTTATTATTATTATTTATTTTAACTGAATGAAATCTTTTTAAAATTACTTAAAACATATTTAATTTCTGTACCTGATAGTTATCCGATTTGGATCTTTGTTCAAAGTATTCAGTGTTTTCTTTTCATTTGTTCTTAACTGTATATCTAGAAATTCCTTGCAGCTGGCTATCATTGTGACCTATAAAATTTCAGCATTTGTTCATTTAGTTATGTCCATTCTTTACTTCTTTTCTCTCACTTATTTTTTCTGTATTTATTTATTTTTAATGCTGCCTTGGGACATCACGTTTAGCATAATAGAGTTAAAAACCTGCCTTATACATTTTGCTTCTTTAAGGATTCATTCATTCACTAACGAAAGTTTACGAACACTTGTTATATGTCAGACACTGTGTTACACACTGGGGCTATATCAGTAAGATTGTAAAGATTAACAAGATAAAATTTAAAATATTCAGCGTAGCACCTAACACATAATAAGCACTCAATAAATGAAGATTTCATTACTATCGCTATTACTACTGTTATAGTATTATTTACCCTTCTATAGTTTGCAAATTATTATTCCTATTGAGGATTATTTTGTAATGAAAACAATGCTGTAGGTATTAAGAAATCTGTATTCTAGAGCCTAATTCTGTCAGATGACTCTGCTTTGGTTTTTCACACCTGTAAAATGAAACTAACACCCTTTCTAATTCTCTTTCACACTTACTGAACTCAAAATCAGATGAGTTAATGTTAACATTAGGGAGTTTCTATTCTTGATTTCTTCTCAGTTAAGAATAATATTCAACACAACATTGTAAATCAACTATACTTCAATAAAAAATAAATTAAAAAAGAATAATATTTACATGAAAATATAAGCCTTCTACTCATCAATTTTAATGCAATTTTTAGTATAATAATCTTATCACAATAATCAACTTAGATATTTTAAATAAAAATAAATAGTTTGGATTTGACAATAAATATAAATGTCATGTTTCATGTTCATATCCCCAGTAATGGAAGAAAGGACCAATACAGTTACCATGTGCCAAAAACATGACTATGGTTCTATTCACTGCTATAGCTACAAAGTTGCCCCCCCTGGGGATATCTTAGTATAGCCTGTTTTTACTCCCATCTTCTCCAAAATCAGTTCTTTTTCCTGGTCTATCACCAATACTATTCTCTTTCTACTGTTATCATTATTCTGATGCAAAGGATTTAGGGAAGAGTTGCAAGTAGGAGGCACATGCGTCCCTCAGTGTCCCTCATTCATGGCAGACTTTCCTAATATACCATGCCACACCATCTTGGAATCTTTCTCAGCACATTCTTTCTCAACATATTACACTTGGTAACCACTACCAAGGTAATCAGCATTACCACATAAGTTGAAAGGCAGTTGCCATCCTGACTTTGGGTATGTATATGAATTTTCTTAGCTCTAACACAGAGATACAATTGGAAATATATTCTAAGGAGTACTATTCTATATCTTACAATCAAAGGCACATGAGGAGGAAAAACATAAGCACTATTAGAAATGCTTTCTTTTCTGCTCATTTATTCTTAAATTGCATGAGATACACAAATTATTTACTCCAATATTATTTTATACTATATCATTGTATATTTATTTTCTTGTGAAAATTAATTTACCAGATCCAATAAAGTTTCTTTTCCACTGATTGTACAAAATTTCTTCACTGTCTCAAATGTAATATAATACCAAGCCATCAATCTTCCTGCCTCTGTGGGAAAAGACAGAAAAATAAACATTCCCCATCAGCTGAAACAACTTGAATTTTCATCAATTTAACAAACATTTCCTTAGCATCTTTGCTGTGCCTTTAACAGCATCAGGTACAAAAGACACCAAAAAATCTAGAAGACATGGTCTCTGGAACCTACAGGTTAGCTAGGGAGATAACCACATGTGAAATAGCTAGACTAGAGTACAAAATCCAGTTAATGATAATGTTTACATACACAAACTTAAGTACAGAGGAAATTAATCCTAAAAGAATGGTCCATGTGGGACTACCTTCTAGAGAAAATGGGTATTGAGCAGGATTTTAAAGTAAACAATAGGCCTTGGCAGAAAGGAAATATAGCCGTTATGACCTCAGGAAAAAACAAAACTTGTTTATCAAAAGAGTAAAGTTTAAAAGACTATCTTTAGAATAATGTAATGAGAGATATGGCTTGATAAACATAAGACTAAAATTCAGGTCAAACTGACCTGCTTAGAATCTTTGGGCCACCACTTACTAGTTACTAGGTGATCATGTGCAGGTTACTTTACCAGTTTCTTAATGTAATGTGGGAATAATAAAAGTATGCATCTCATATGTTTGTTGTGAAGAAGATTAAATGCAATAATACATGCATAGTACTTAGCATAGTGCCCAACATTAAATAAATGTTGCCTACTTTTATTATCAAAACATGATGAAAGGTAGAATACAGAGGCCCTGAAATAGCCTTTAAATGCTATAAAGGAGTTTAGATTTTGGTTTTGATTTGTAAAATAACAGAGGACCACTTAAAATTCTTGAGCAATATTTCAAATAAATTTGAATTTGAAACTAAATTGTTTTGGAAATAAAACATCAGGTAGGCTGTGGGTAGGAGGATGGGTAGAGTGAGGATAAGTAACTGATGAAATGGAATTCATTTAAAAGGTTACTGGCTTCAATTATAAGTTGTCAAGAACATTACAAAGAATTTCAAGTCTTGTGAACACACACAAAAAACAGCTGAGAAGAGGAAAAAGGCATACTGTTGCTCAAGGAAAAGGCTAATATTTAAGTATGTGCTACAGGTTTTGCTGAAGAGGAAAGAATTTGACATTCCATCACTTACAGGCATCAAGAATAAGGTACAGTAGACAGAACTTAGACTCAGGAATAGCCACTTTCTCAATTAGGAGTCTAGTGAATATGTTCAGCCAAAACGTGAGTAATGCAGTGGTTCACCAAAGGGAGATTCTAAGAGCAGTGTGTGAGATAGCGAGAATATGGTTACCAAGGGAACTAGTATATGTTATATTTAGGGTAAATTTTAAGATGCTCCTCTTATCCTAGATGTTTATAAATTAATATAGGGTATCTCCCTGCTAGTCAAAATGAAAGGTTTTGAGAAAAGGCTTGATATTTGCTGGCTTATTAGTAAGGACGAAGGTTTCCTAGGTAAGGTATAAAAATAAACTAGAAAGAAAGCTATAAAGAAAATGAGTCAAGGCAGAAGCAATGGAAAGAATTTTTTAAAATTTGCAAGTGAAGAGAGAAAATAAAAAGGCAACTTGCTATCAATATAGCTTTTGAATAATAGCAAATACAGGGTATTTCAAAGTAAAAGTCATAGAGTTGGGGTAAGGGGAGTGGAAGCAGAGGTCATGAGTATGCACCTCTCACATATCCTACTGCAAGAAGTGCTCTGATGGATGGCCCAAACTGCTATGTTCTGAATCTATCACTATGTACACGCCAAGATCACACTTCTCAGGAGATACAAACAAATGACTGAGCATGGCAGGAATATTAAGAAAGATCTATAAGCCAAGGGACTCTTTGGATGGGCAACTTTGACTTGAAGATTCCCCATCAACTTTGCCAAATGGTCTTAGGACTGCATTGCAGGATAAAATTCTCCTTCCTTCTCTCTTTCCTTCCTTTTCTCCTTCCTTCCTTCACTCTCCTTCACAGAGGTAAGATTTGCATCCCAGTTTAATGACTTTCCATGCCTTTTGCAATTACTGCCCATTTTCATAAGGTTGTTAATCCTTCATAAATTTGCACAAACTAAGACTTGGCCTTTTGAGCCCTTCTTCTATACACATTAGCAGGCAGAATAGCTAAAAATCTGGACAAGAACACAAGCATACAGATAAAAATACCTAGATACTTGAGTATTATAACCACAAACTAAAAAAGCAAAAACTATATGAAGCAGAATTACTGGAACATACAGACTAAAAATTTAAATACAAAAAATAAATATTCAAAGAGATAAAAGAAGTAATAGTAACACAAAGGAACAAGAAGTCATAAAGAAAGAATTAATTAGAAATAATATGTAAGGAGCTTCCATCCACATTAACAGCAGGCTAAGTAATTATGAACCAATGCCTCTGCTGAAGGCAACTAAGTCAGATAAATGAAACATATGAAATATCTTTTATAAGGCAGCAAAGAACTAACAAGATATTTATCTGGGAGAGGGCTTAAAACCAAAGGGATAAGCACACACAAAATATTTATAAAAACTGACCACATACTGGGCCATAAAACAAGTCTCAACAATTCTCAAAAGATTGAAATCATACTGAAAATATTATCTGATACAAAGCAACTGCATCAAATATCAAAAACAACAGCAACAACAAAAAAACTGAAAAGAAAAATAACTAGAAAACCATCATATGTACAGAAATTAAGAACTAGATTTCCAAATAACCCATAGGTAAAAGAAGAAATAATGAAAATTAGAAAATACAACAAACTGATTGATAATGAAGCTATTACAAATCACAGCTAATAAAAATTCTTAGCCTTAAATAAATATATAGTATTCCTATACATTTACATAAACCTTTATTTCCTGTAAATATATAGTATATGCATTCCTATAAAATCTTGTATTCTATAAACTACATACTAAAAATAACAAGGCTTATGGGAAAAAGTATTGAGGCAAACAACTAAAAAATTCATACAACCTTATAACAAGAGCACTAACCTAAATGATCCTAATAAAAATACTGGCACAGTTAAAAAGACATGTTAAATTCCTCATAAAGTTATATATACATACATGTATGTAACACTTTATGTGTGTGTGCTTTAAGTAGCTTGATGGTGTAGGGTGTAACAAGAGTTGAGGCTGCTGAGTTAATAAATACAGAGGACAAAATGTCCAATGATTGGGCATTGCATAGTATGTGCTTTCAAAGCAGAGTACATGACCAAACTGGGTCCAGAGGAGGAACAGGTAAAACAGCATCATGTACAATACTGTATTCCTCTGAAAACTCAGCTACATTCAGCTAGAATGTATATTTTATGTTAAGCTGCTGTGATGGTTAATTTTATGTGTCAACTTAACTGGGCCATAGGGTGCCCAGATATTTGGTCAAATATTATTTTGGGTATGTCTGTAAAGGTGTTTTGGATGATATTAACATTTAAATTGATAGACTGAACACTGATAGAACATTAGTGCTCTTTGCAATATTAATGGATTTCCATTTAAAAGATTTCTGTGGACAAATAAGAATGTAAAAATCTTAGGTTAATCAATTTCATCTCTTTTTTACTACCTTTCTTCTTAGCACATTTAGTATGCTACTGAACCCCATGAATCTCCTAGAGAAGACAGTTTAGAGTAAAACTGCATTCTCTATTTTAATTTGGAGTCTCTCACCCCCCACCCCAGAACACTCACTAAGATAAATTGGTGTATGACATGAAGATCTAAATAGATTTTCACTATACCATTTATTGAAACATCAATCCCAAGGCAGTTCTCAATTTTAATGTGCAAAAGAAGCATCCAGGGAACAAGCTTAAAATCTAAATTACTAGGTTTTACTCCTAGAAGGTGAGGTTTGTAGGTCTGGAGTAGGGTTCATTAATTTCATTTTTAACATAACAGCACCCTCAGTTGACTTTGAGAGGAGTAGTTAACCCAACCGCACTTTAGGAAACATTACCCTGCTACGTGATAAGGAATATTTTCAGCTCCAAGACTGGATTGTCCTTTTGGACATTCCTGCCTGGACATGGAATGAGTGAGGAATGAAAGAGAAACCAAAGACATCAAACATTTTTTAATAGGCTTAACAAACCGGTTATGCTATTGAGAATAAGAGGCAAGTAGAGATACATTTTCCTAACCTTGGACAAAAAAGAGCAACGACTCATGTTTTCAGAGGAATTTTTTTGCTGTAAATGTTCATTATCCCATTTCATCATCACAACAACCCAGTAAGGTAAGTAGGATGTGTAATATATTCTTGTTTTACAGATAAATAAACTAAGGCTCAGTGAGCATAAGGTCACAGCAAGCATAGTGGCAGAACTGGGACTGAAATCCAGGCATTTGGAATGCAAATTTTATGTTCATTCCACTGTATAGTACTCCAGGTCAAATTAACTGTTATATGCTCTGGGTGTCAAGTTTCACGTCATATATGTAAGAAAAGATTTCCAATAGAAAACTAACGTTCAAATGTCATAGCAAAGGTGAGAGACCAGGATCAAAACTACAATTCATTTACATAATGACCATAGCTTAAGCTGTGAAGGTAAATTATGTTTTCAAAGAAATTATCATAAACTGGGAATAAAGGTCCAACATCTACACATTTAAGAAGCCCATAGTAAAGCAAAAAAGGTCAGCAAAGAGAAATTGATTAAAGAAGCAGAAAGAGAATCAAAAGAATGTTAAAAAGAAGAAAATTAATCAGGTAGTATTCACTGATGATTGAGAAAGAAGACAAATATTACACATATCATTTATTAGGTATGTTTAAAGGCAGAAGGGATGTTGTCAGTGGATTCAAGAAGTTCCACAGGGAAAGAATTATAGTGGGAATAAGATTCTTGAGAATTAAAGTATCTGAAGAATAGATGAAGAAGTTATATTAGTGATTTTCATGCCCCCTTTAGTGAGACATCCTAGAATACAAAGAAGGTAATTCTCACAAACAAATTAGGTTTATCAGAATGAGAACCATGGGAGAGGAAACAAATGTTATAAATCTAGGGCTGAGAGTTAGGGAGGTAAATTGTTTTTAAAAACCTTATACAAATAAATACAAATAAAAACATAATACAAAATCATACATTTCTATAGTACAGTTGCAAGTATGTAAAAATGCATTTAAAAATGGAAGGATACATAAAATGTTAACAGATAGTCTAATTTTTTTAAACTTTCCTATACTTCCCAATTTTTATTTAGTAAAGTATATCTTCTTAAAAAGTTTAATTTGTTATAATGAAGTCAATATTTTCCCCTAAGAAACTTCTAATCATGAGTGGTAAAAACTACAAAACATTCTTTCTTGCTTCTGTTATACCCTATATAGAATCAAAAAGAGAGAGAGAGAGAGAAAAGGAGCCTAAGTAACCATCCATATAAGCAATGTTTGAATAATTAAGAATTGGTAAAAGGATAGCTACAAGAGTTATGACAGGACTGAAGCAACCCAAAGATTTGAGCATTTTAATCCTCTGCTAAAAGTCACCGGAGTTAGCGAACACAAATTCTGTGCCTGTCAAAAAGAAGATCTATAATTTCAGAAATAAAACTCGTATAAATTGATCATGCTAATAATGATGATACCCTACTGAGAACTGAAACCACAATTTTACCATCATCTAAATTTTAGTAGAAAAAATATTTTAATTTAGACTTAAGTAAGCAATTGTTAAATTTACTAACAATGATGGAAAAATTACCAGTTGGTTTGAAATTAACATCTTCATCCATCTTTATCAGGTCCAGAGATGATAAATCATTCAGATTCTTCAAACATAATTCTGTTCAATTATAGAAAACATATTTTTTACTTTAGTAAAATAAAGAATCAACACAAAATAGAATTTATTATAAAATATCCTGAAGGTGTATTTCAGTGTAATTGTTCTGGGAAGAACTGTAGTCCCTATTTAAGTGGTTAAAAAAAAAACTCATTTAAACAAAAGAGCTGACTAATATGCTGAAAAAATTTTCTAACAGTAAAAATAATACAAATAATAAAAATAACACTCAAGTGATAACATTTACAACTTGGAGCTTTTAAAATGATATATTTGTACTATCTCATTTAATCCTCAAAACACAACATGGCAGGTATTAATATTATTTCATATACAAGTTAGGAAATTAAAGAATAGAGAAGCTAAGTGACTTGCTCCAGGTCTAAATAACTGTTTTGCCATTTGACTTCCAATACGGCAGTAGTTTTTCTTTTTAAAAAAGCTTTAAGATATATACACACAAAGTATAAAGAGTCAAATAGTTCTACAGAGATTGCTCAAAAAACACCAGTCTTTCCCCTCCTCCTAGTTTGCCACACTCTCTTAAGGTAACCATTATGACTATTTTAGCTGATGTTTCTAGTATTTACTTCAGCATCTCTGAATATGACACTATTGCACCTGGAAGGAACCTCTGAATAGGAAACAATGCAAGTTCACTCTCACTGATTGATGGGGATCAGAGCAATTGTAGTAACCTGTTGCATTCAGTGTTCTCTCTGTTCCCTGCTATAAAGACACAGACCTACTAGAGAATGGACTTGAGGATATGGGGAGGGGGAAGGGTAAGCTGTGACAAAGTGAGAGAGTGGCATGGACATATATACACTACCAAACGTAAAATAGATAGCTAGTGGGAAGCAGCCGCATAGCACAGGGAGATCAGCTTGGTGCTTTGTGACCACCTAGAGGGGTAGGATAGGGAGGGTGGGAGGGAGGGAGATGCAAGAGGGAAGAGATGTGGGAACATATGTATATGTATAACTGATTCACTTTGTTAGAAAGCAGAAACTAACACACCATTGTAAAGCAATTATACTCCAATAAAGATGTTAAAAAAAAAAAAAAAGCCCAGGAGATTGGAGGCAGTTAACAGCAGAGAATGGGAATACCACAACCTATTCAATGTTATATAGAATAGCCACTCACAAAAATATAGCCCTTAGAAAGCAGGGTTCTTTGAAAAATACTTTAGTTTAAGCAACATTGCTAAGGCAGCTTGATAGTTTTAAGTGTTTGGTTAAGTAAGGCTTTTGAAGTCTTTGCTAATTTTCTTAATTACCCACTATTAAGTTAACAATCAGTGGCCATCAACAAAAGTCTACACATAATAAATGCTGGAGAGGGTGTGGAGAAAAAGGAACCCTCCTACACTGTTGGTGGGAATGTAAATTGGTACAGCCACTAGGGAGAACAGTATGGAGGTTCCTTAAAAAACTAAAAAAAGAGTTACCATATGATCCTGCAATCCCACTCCTGGGCATATATCCAGAGAAAACTATAATTTGAAAAGATACATGCACCCCAATGTTCATTGCAGCACTATTTACAATAATCAAGACATGGAAGCAACCTAAATGTCCATCAACAGATGAATGGATAAAGAAGATGTGATATATATATATGTATATATATATATATATATATATATATACACACACATAATAGAATATTACTCAGGCATAGAAAAGAATGAAATAATGCCATTTGTGGCAACATGGATGGATGGATGGACCCAGAGATTATCATACTAAGTGAAGTAAGCAAGACAGAGAAAGACAAATATCACATGATATCACTTATATGTAGAATCTAAAAAAAATAAATAATACAAATGAACTTATTTACAAAACAGGAAGAGACTCACAGACATAGGAAACAAACTTATGGTTACCAAAGGGGAAAGAGGGGGAGGGATAAATTAGGAGGTTGAGATTAACATGTACACACTACTATATATAAAATAGATAACCAACAAGGACCTGCTCTATAAGCACAGGAAACTATACTCAATATTTTGTAATAATGTATAAGGGAAAAGAATCTGAAGAAAAATATACATATATATAAAACTGAATCACTATACTGTACACCTGAAACTAACATGACATTGTAAATCGACTACACTTAAATAAAAAAAAAACAATGCTCTCAAGTTTCAACTTCAAAAAAATTAATATTCAGTAAGTTAATCAAACAAGAATGCTTACTATATGCTGAGCACTATTCTAAGCTTAAAGTTTATAGTAGTGAACAAGGCAAGGTTCTTCTTCTATAAACTTATATTTTACTGAAGAAAGCAATCAATAACAAATAAATAATTTCAGGTATTGATAAGTATTATGAGGGAGGGAGAGATTGGGATTGACATGTACACACCACTATATTTAAAACAGATAACCAACAAGGACCTGCTGTATAGCACAAGGAACTTTGCTCAATATTCTGTAATAACCTAAATGGGAAAAGAATTTGAAAAAGAATAGATACATGTATATGTATAACTGAACCACTGTGCTGTACACCTGAAACTAACACAACATTGTTACTCAACTATACTCCAATATAAAATAAAAATTAAAAAAAAAGAAAGGTATTATGAAGGAAAATAAAGCTGAGAAAGGAACTAAAGAATAACAGAGTTTTTTAAGCTTTTATTTAATTAAGCTTACGTGTATTTCAGATACACAGCTTATAATTTCTGATTAAAGTAAGGATGTAGTCATCCTAATTTTCAACATAAACACATCACCTTTTCCAAGAGCAGGAAAACAGCAGTAACAATATGGAAATTGCTTTTCCTTTGTCTCTGTAAATGTGGGTTTAAATAAGGTAGTCCAGGAAGGTCTCTCTGAGGAGTTGATATGTAAACAAAGACCTGAATGAAATGAAGGTTCAGGCCACGTAAAATATGCAAGAAGTGTTTCAAGAATAAAGAGAGTGCAAGGACCTGAAGTGTGAACAAGCTTGATGTGGTTAAGGAACAGCAAGATAGCCAATTTGGACAGAGTGGAATAAATGAGGAGAAAGTGACAAGAGATGAAGTTAGAGAAATAGGCATGGGGATGCCAAATAGGACTTTGTGGGTTCTGGTGAAAGTTTGCATTTTATTCTAAGAGTGATGGGAGAGCTACTGGAGGATACTGAGTAAGAAAGTATAACAAAATTTAGGAAACAGCATATTGTATGCTAAAGACCCTTCCTAAGAAATTTAAGGCAGACCTCCAAGCAAACCAAAACATTCTATCCAGTTATATAATAAATTTGGCTATTCTTTATAGGCAAAACTTAGCCACCTATAATAACTGAAAATAAGACAAATATGAACTGTTAAGAACATTTAAGAAAAGTTAAATCTTTACAGTTACCAGAATATAGCAAGGTATTTCTTGGTCTGTCTCATTTTGTGTATTTGATCATTATGATAAAAAATATATGCTTTTAAAACTCCATTACAAATTTGGTCAATACATAAAGAATAATACAACTATATTATAGATCTGTTTCTCAACAGCTGCATCATGAACATAAGCTATTGCTAATCAGCATGTTTTTTTGCGGTACGCGGGCCTCTCACTGTTGTGGCCTCTCCCGTTGCGGAGCACAGGCTCTGGACGTGCAGGCTCAGCGGCCATGGCTCACGGGCCCAGCCGCTCCGTGGCATGTGGGATCTTCGCGGACCGGGGCACGAACCCGTGTCCCCTGCATCGGCAGGCGGATTCTCAACCACTGCGCCACCAGGGAAGCCCCTAATCAGCGTGTTTTAACAATATATTTATTCTTTAAGAAAGACAATTTTACTGCTTCATCCTTATCTCTGCATTTTTATTTGCCATATGTGTATATCCAAGTAGAGAATAAATTAAAATTGGCTAAATATTTTTTGGGATCTAACATGTTTTCTTTTCCTGGAAGACAGTCTCAATACAATGAAGAGGCAGCAATTTCTACTCCTAATAAATGCTTAACAATCTTTTGATATTTTAAAAGATAGGTAATGAAATACTGAGTGATTAACTGAAAACTAAAACTGGGTTTGATAGGAATACTTCATTAGCACAGATTAAGATAAGAAGCCCATAATCAAGCTTGGCTTATATTTTCAGTTAAAAGTAAACTAGAAAAGGAACATAAAGAGTTGAGTATCTATAGGCAACATTTCCAAAGACCAGGATCATTTTAAAAGTAAAAACAAACCAAGTTAACATGTTATACAAAGGAAGATATTCTGATAGAATTAATAAATAGATTAATACAGAAAAAAAGTACATGTGCCAAGCTTGTATTTACCTGTGAAAAAGAAATCCATATTTTCTTTTCTGCAAACAAGGTTATTTTAAAAAATACTTTCCCGGAGCATTCTTACTTTCATAAAAACTAAACTTTTTCATTAAAATGTATAGAATATAATTTTTTAGAAGGAAATGCATCTAACCTTGTAATTTTGATTCAATTCCATCTTTGCTCAATCCAGATGCAAAACCTATATAAGTTATGACAATTTATTAAAAATAAAATACAATGAGATGAATTCATCTTTATAAGCTCACTTTATACCCCAGTTAACTAGAAAAGAGTAATCTAACTCAATCTTAAATAGAAAAAAAAAGTAGCTTAAAGTTAAAACAAGGCTTAAACATCTATAGAAAATAAACACTGTTGTGAAATCCTTTCAATATCAATTGGCTATCTCTTGTTATTTTTATTGTATAACAGTGACCAGGAATACTACATGTATTTTTTTTCCTTAGAGGTCTGAAAGTTTTGAACCTATGTGTATTAGAATGGTATTATAACACGTCAGGTTTTAATCTGATATTCTGCAATCCCAAGCATTTTTATTTTATAACCTGTACCACATGAAAGAACCCTCTAGAAGCAACATAACCATATGTGTGCTAGCTTTAGAAGCAAGAAGAAAATTCCAGCAGCAACAGTATTACTATATACTTTGATTTGAACACCAGTTCAGACAAAATTCAAAATTTCTTTTTGACTTTAACTTATTTTAAATAATTTTAGGCATTTAAAAAATTTTTGAGATAATTTTTTTCTAAAAGATCTATTTTTAATGGTGTTGATTTCAAGCCTTATTAAAAGACTAGAAGTAAAACAGATAAATATTTCTCACGTTTCTCTACTCTTGCTCTAACTGTATTTGTTATAATTGTTTTTACTTCTGCTAACTATTAGTTTCTATAATCTATTCTGTGACCTATTAGTATAAAGTAGGCCCAATTGGCTTGATAAAATTACTACTCTTCAAAATCAAAGTAACAAACCATAATGAGATGGATTTTTCAAGGCTCTGATATAAAGCAAGGTTGATCGTATCCATTCCAAAGCAATATTCACATCTGTGATGGTATGCAATACTATCTCCGCATTTAAATGCTCAATAAGATGTCTGTGCAAACTAATGGAAAAAAAACTTTTTCATTAGTAATATATATTTCAGTGCCATACAACTGTTGCTTGTTTAGAATAATATTTGAATAATTCAATAATATAATTGAATAATATTGTTACTTTAATAATTCATGAAAGTTAACTTAATTTTCAAAAATATGACAAAACCTTAAAATGTCAGTTTAACTTTTAAAAACATTATAGATTTCTCTCTACTCCATGGATCTAGAAGACATTATTGCTTTAAAAAAGGGTGGGGAGTGGATTACATCCTATTTTCCCCAAAAGTATTATAATCAACCACTTTACTAAAAGGTCTCAGGTTGCCTGTCTCCTACTATTATGCAAATTTTAAAGATGTAAAAAGATGTGAAAATTACATTCCTCCCATTACTAATCTGGCCTTTTATAACAAGGATACATGCAACTGCATGCTAAGAAGCATTGCTGAACAAAGATATTACCCTGTCTCTTTTTTAACTATTAAATTTCTTAAAAGTACACACTTTCTAATTAGATTATTGAAAAGTTTCAAGAAAATGGCCTTAGAAAATCCCCTAATATATTAAAAGGAAAAATACAGCCTATATTAACATTAACGTATTAACATCTTTTGGGAATATTTTCCATATTACCTGCTTTCTACAGTGTCACTACAAGCTAGCATCTGAATATACTTCTCTTTTGTACTTAACCGAGTCATAATAACTGCGGTAGCTGTAGTGTCAAACTGGAAGGAAAAAAAGAAAACAGAAATGTAGTAAAGAAAAGCACATGTTGATACCAGTCTTCTTCAATAACTCAAGATTTTCATTTTATATTAAACAGTTCCCTGTCTTAAACAACAGGTCAAAAAGGCTTTAAAAATGCTTCTGAATTTGAATATTAACTGAAAATTTGACTTAAAAACCTTCCAAGAGTATAGATGTAAAAGTACCACTTTGGTTTCAATGTAACATAATTTTGGCAGTAGTAAAATCAAAACAAACTTAGGTAACTGGTTAAAAGCTGTAAGATTCGGGGCAATTTATTTATAATCTAATTTATCCTATAATAATTATAAATTTGTATGACACAATATTTTGATATTCTTTGAAAAGATATTCTTCCTAAATTTTCCCTTAGTACCTATATGAATGACTTCTTTATTCAAGAATTTGTCAGATTAGGCCATGTTTTATAATGCGTATGGGCTGATTTTTAATTGTCGCAATATCTTGGGACCACTATTGGCATTCTGTGCTAGGATCCAGGGATGGTACATGTTCTGCAATGTATGACAGTCCTACACAATGAAAAGCTGTCCCATCCAAAATGCCAATAGCATCCCTATTCAGAATAAAAAACAAACAAAAACAAAAATACTCAAAACCAAAAAAACCCTTTAACAGCATACACATTAATAAACCCAACCATTTATCAACCCAACCATTCATCAACCAATGGGAGCTTAGAGGGAATGAAGGGAGTATGTCTCCTTTGGTGAGACTTGTTTTACTTCTACTCCTCCATTAAAGTACATTTTCTTAGTTACATTTATGCTTAAACCTAATCTAGATGTGAAATGTTAATCTTTTGTTTAACAAAAAATACACAATTATATCCTTTTTTTGCTTTTTATCTTGCCTTTAAAATAAATTACAAAAAGTGAAACACTGTCACTTACTTGAGGTCGACCAGCTCTACCAATCATCTGTAGAATGTCTGTTTCACTGTACTCTTCAAACATTCCTCCAGCATAATGCATTGTAGATTTTATAACTACTAGGTGAGCAGGCAAATTTACTCCCATGGCTAAGGTACTGGTAGTAACTGCATCAAATTATGGAATATTACTTTTAAGTCATATAACTTTATTGCTTCAAGTAAACATTTTCTTATAAAAGATATATTCTTATAAATGTAATAAAACTCATATATAGGAAATTTAGAATAAAAAGCAAAAAGAAAACATTACAACGTAAAATAATATATCTTAAAACCAAAAAGCTACTAATTCTTACTTTTCAAATTGCACTATGTTCAGTAAGATGATAAAGAACTAAAATTGCCAGAGAGTTTACTATAGCACGTATATGTATGGATAGTTATATAATTTTAGATTCTTGGAAGAAAAGCAGAAATAAGTCAGAATACCTGAGCTTTTTCTTTTTCCAAAAGATCTTATAATATTCACAAGAATATGTTTTACTTACAAAGAACTGGTAGATCTCCAACAGTAAAAGCTCCTTCAACTACTTTTCTATCTGACAGCTCCATACCAGCATGATGATAAGCAACACCATGTATTAAGATATCTATAAAAGAAATATATCATCTGTTATGTACTGTTGATATTTCATCAGTAATTGGCTCTTTTTATTTATAGCTGAAAATACTATTCAAAAATTATCTCTAAACCTACCTCTCAGTTTTGAATCTCTTATGGAATATGCACACTTATGTAACCTATTTTAAAAAACACAAAATTATTGAGTTATTCCCATTAACATCAAAACTCTTAGTGTATTAGTTATTTTGAAGATTACAGATATCAAAATATTTTCACAACATCATTTTTTGAAAACCATCTTTAAGAAGCAGAGAATATCTAACTTTCATACTGAGAAGTCCCTAATTTTATAACTAAGAAAAAAAAAACCTAAATAATCCAATTTTAAAAAGGGCAGAGGGCCTGAATAGACATTTTTTTCAAAGATGACATCCAAATGGACAGCAGAACAAGAAAAAGTGCTCAACATCACTAATCATCAGGGAAATGGAAATCAAAACCACAATGAGATATACCTTCACACCTGTCAGAATGGCTATTATCAAAAAGACAACAAATAAGTGTTGGTGAGGATGTGGAGAAAAGGGAATCCTCATGCACTATTGGTGGGAATGTAAATTAATGCAGCCACTATGGAAAACAATATGGAGATTCCACAAAAATTTTAAAATAGAACTACCATATGATCTAGCAATTTCACTCTGAGGTATTTATCCAACAAAAACAAAACCACCAATTCAAAAAAACATATATACCCCTATGTTCATTGCAGCATTATTTACAATAGCCATGATATTGAAGCAACCTAAGTGTCTAACAATAGATGAATGGATAAAGAAGATGTGGTACTTGTGTGTGTGTGTGTGTGTGTGTAAAATATTACTCAGCCATAAAAAAGAATGAAATCTTGCCATTTGTGACAACTGGATGAACCTACAGGGTATTATGCTAAGTGAAATAAGTCAGACAGAGAAAGACAAGTAAGTGAACTAAGTCAGACAGAGAAAGACAAACACCACATGATTTCACTCGTGTGGAATCTAAAAAACAAAACAAATGAACAAACATAAAATAAAAACAGAGTCATAGATACAGAAAACAAACAGGTGGTTGCCAGAGGGGAGAGAGGTGGGTGGAGGAAAGAAATGGGTGAGGGAGATTAAAAGGAACAAACTTCCAGTTATGAAATAAATGAGTCATGGGTACAAAATGTAGAGTGTGGGAATATGGTCAATAATTATATAATATCTTGCATAGTGACAGATTGTAACTAGACTTATCACGGTGATCATTTTGAAATGTATGGAAATACTAAATCACTGTGTTGTGTAATAGGAACTAACACAGTGTTGAAGGTCAATTATACTTCAAAAATGAACAAATTCATGGAAAAAGAGATCAGATTTGTGGTTACCAGAGGCGAGGGGTTGGGGGGGTGGGGAGGGGCAACTGGATGAAGGAGTCAAAAGGCACAAACTTCCAGTTATAAGATAAATAGGTACTAGGGATATAATGTACAACATGATAAATATAATTAACACTGCTGCATGTTACATATAAAAGTTGTTAAAAGAGTAAATCCTAACAGTTCTCATCACAAGCGAAAAACATTTCTATTTCTTTAATTTTGTATCTATATGTATGGATGATGAATATGCACTAAACTTATTATGGTAATCATTTCATGCTATATGTAACTCAAATCTTTATTCTGTACACCCTAAACTTATACAGTGCTATATGTCAATTATATCTCAAAAAAACTGGGGAAAATAGGGAAATAAATAATTATAAATAAAATCACCAAAAAAAAAAAAAAGAGAGAAAAATACCCCCAAAGGCTCAGGAAACATTTTCACTATGAGAATACTATCAATTAACTTCCTGAAGTTAACTTAAATTTTTTAAAATATAGAAATATTTTTTAAGTTAAATGCATGATACAACAGAAAAATTATTTTTAAAAAAGCTAAAGAGACCAGAGTACACAAGAAGTTGGGCATGTTAGACAAGTTTAGAAACCTTAGTAACAGAATCTGGGGTTTATGGGCAAAAAGAAATCTTGTGGGAGCTGCTAGAATCTGACTGGTTAAAGGGGAATTGACATAAGCAGCAGTCTCTTTCCCTAGTCTATAGTAACTCAAAATGGCATTCCACTCCTTTTCAACTTACGCTTTTCTCAGGGAATGAAGTAAAAGCCAAACATACAAATGAGAATCTATTCAACTGTTTATTGTGCCTGAGTAACAGACTGACCGTGATATATGATAAATATTCTCTATAGTATAAAACAAAGAGGTAGGTAGAAAGAAATCTATGTTATTGTTATCTTGATAGCATTAATTTCACATTTTCCCTTTCTGTCTACCTCTTAGACCTCATGCACTTTTTTGGCTATAAGCTCTATTTTGGTTTCTCTTTCTCTGGCTCTCTACTGTATCTTATTGTTTAATCATGCTTTGCTGATGTTTGTAACAAAAGCTGCACCATAGAGAGTTTTTATCTTATGGCAGTAACTAAGGAGATCAAGTTAAATCCTTAAAGCAGAAGTAAAATTATGAAAATAGTATATACAGCATGGATAGGTGGCTGCATATGTAATTCTTTAATGCACTAAATGACTAGAGATCCACCCTTTTAGTGGATAGAAAGTCAAATGTCAGAAAGCTAAAGTGGTATCCTCTAGGTTTGGTACACATCTTTGGTTGAAAAGTAACCAGAGGTGTAGCCACAGGGTAGACTGTAATTGGAAAGCTGATCTGATCCAAAGCGAAGAAAAGTACATCCCCCACCGTAGAAAATTAGTCAGAAAAATCAGTATCTGCTCATATCCACATGTAATGATCTAATCCAACTTTGGTTTGAGGTCTACCACTAAACTTATTTATTTATTTCCAAAAACTGTTATTAATAATAAGCTAATATTAGTAGTAAGCATGTGCTGGCACTCTGCTGAGTCTTGCTAAGATTGAGGGGTAAATAAGATGACCATGAGTCCTTCTTTCCTCAAGACGTTTACAATCTAAGGAATAGAACAGATATTAAATAACAATTAAACAAAAGCATATTTATTATAATTACAGTAAGTTTTATGAAATAAAAATATAGGGTGCCTGTAAAAGCAAATAAAGGGACACTAAGAATCATGGAAAACTTCTTAAGAAACTGATATTAAAGGTGAGACTTGAAGGATGAATAAGAGGTAAAAAACAATTCTGGGCAAAGAAAATATGATTCAGGAAAGCTCTGTGTAGGATAACAGTTTGGTGTATTCACAGAACACATTATACAGGGTATTGCAGGCGATATTAAGTATTTAGGATTTTAGCCTAATGACAACAAGAAACTATTAAAGTGTTTTAGGCAGAAAAATGACATGTTTAGATTTGTAATTTTAAACAATCACTCTGCTATGAATATAACAGATTAAAGTGGGATAAGAGTGTGTTTGTGGTCATCAGATAAAAGGCAAGAGATTAATAATTACTTGAATGCGGAAGGTGGCAGTGCTGATGAAGATAAAATGATATATTTGAGATATATTTACAAGTAAGAATAGACAGGACTTGGTAATTGATTGCCTATGGGGAAGAAGGTGAAGGAGATGTCAATGATAGGTTTCTGCATGAGCAACTAGGGAGATGATAAATAATCAGGATGGGGAACACTGGAGGAGGAACTGATTTGAGAGAAAGAACCAAGGTTCTCTTTTGGACATACTGAGTTTGACATGCCCACAGATATACAATCAGAGATGTCAGGCAGGTGGATGGTAGACCTGGAGCTCAGAATGGAGGTCTGTGTTGGAGCTGTAAATTTGTAAATTCACAGACATATATAAATATGTGTACACATATATTCTTTGAACCATGTGATAATGAGACTCAAATACCTAGGAGTGTGGCATTAGAAAGAATGAACCTTGGATAGAACCCCTAGAATGTTAACATTTAAGAATCAGGTATTATAAGTGAAAAGGGACTGAGAATGAGTAGAAAGCAAAGTAGCAAAAAACATGGTAGAAATGATCATGGAAACACAGAGTCTGGAATTTTTAAATTAGGTGGGAGTGGTCAAATGTGTTAGAAGCTCCTGAGAGATCAATTAACAAGATCAGCTTTAGTAAAAGATTACAACAGATACTGGATTGAAAGTGAGTAAAAAATTGAAGACAGCAATATGAATAATCTTTCAAATTTGGCTATGAAATAAAGAAGACAGGATCACAGTTGCATCAAGATTCATTGTCTTAATCATCCAACTTACTTTTATCCTTATTTTACAGATGAGGAAACTAAGGCTTAGAGAGGTCAAGTAACTTGAAAAGGTCAACCCAGTTTTCTCATCTCATCTAGGTTATCCTTAAAAGTCTTTCTACCTCCAAGAAAAAAATTTAAAATATACCTCTGTTTCTGTTCCACAGTCATAATAAATTTCGCATCTTTCACAAGAACAGAAGCAGCCTGTTGCACACCTTTCCTTGTTGCACAAAACTAAAAATGAATGAATAATTTTTGTATTAATCATATTAAAAACTGAACATTACACTAAAAAATAAGCAACCAACAAACCATACCACAAGCGTGGGTTTCTGATCAGAGTACGTTTGTATAACACTGGCAACTTTGTAGTTGAGGGTTAAATCAAACTTAAATTCGGTTTGGTTATTACTGCAGGGAAATCCAAGGACCACTTTCTCAAGTTTCACTGGTCTATGTCCCTCATCCATTTTCAGACATACAGCAGATCTTTCACCATCTGAAAGCCATTCTGCAATCTTTAAATGACAGAAACATACACATTAAATTTTTTTCTAGTAAAGTTTTATGGCTAAAAAGCCCAATTATAGTTCACTTTAAAGTCAAGTTTTAAAATATTTAGTCAAGTAGTCTTTTTCAACATTACATATTCTAGTGACACTGTTCTATTGATATATTGGTAAATATTTCCAATAACAGTGGTTCAAGATTATACCCACTTTTAACATGGTAAACTTCCAATTAATTATTATTATTTTGTTTCATTTTCCTCCTAAGAGTCTAAAGTAAAATTAAAATTAATTTCAACAGAGAAGTCAAATTTCTCACTAGCACTGTAACTTCTTTGCTATTTTTCAGAATGATGCCCAGATATGGCTGACACTTCTTTTGTGTTATCCTAAATATTAGCTGAAGAGTAGCAAAGTAATGATTGGCTTAGACTGGCAAAGGCTGACAACTTTTTTAAACAAAGAACAAATAAACACTGAGAGATGGCAGTGCCAAAAGCACATTTCAGACTCAATGCTAGAGTCCTTAGTTAATTTCTGGAGCTGTGGAGAGCCATCCTTAACTTCACATAGCCTGGTTAGTAATCAGGCTTCTGTGCCCTGCTATGAAACTGATTGTTTCTTTGACAGGAAGATAAATTAATGAGTTTTTAATGGCACAGGAAGGAAATATTAAAACATTTTCAAGGCTCTCATGGGTAGGGATGAGAACAAGAATTTACAGTTTGAGCAGAGCAGAAGGCAAAGGTTGAAGGCCTTAACTCAGGGGAAAACTGAGGTAGAGGACTTGTAGAAAGAGACAGAGAGATAGCATTCACAGAAGTAGTGATTATCACAAAGGGGAAGAGAGTTTCAAGAATTACAGAGTATTGATATTTTGTAACTGCTTACAAATAAATAAGAAAAGTTTAGTATCCCAATGTGAAAAAAGAGTTAAGTCTATGACCTTGCAGGTTGCAAAAAAAGAACTTAAAATAGTTGACAAATATATTAATATTTACTTCAGTAGTAATCAATGCAGTACAAAATTTTAAAATAAGGTACCATTTCAAATAACAAATTTGAGAACTATTTAAAAGTAATAATAACAATAATAATTTCATTATTATACTATCCAGCATTAGAATACAGAGAAATGGCTGATGGTAGAGGTATAAATGAATATAACATTTATTGAAAGCACTGTATTCTTAGAGTTTTATATACCCTTTGACTCAGTTATTCTACTTTAGCAGACCATCCTAAGGAAATAATTGTGATGTTTTCTTAGATATAATTTCAAGACTATTTACAATAGCAAAAAATGGAAACAATCTTCGACCATTAAGGTATTAAATAAATTACAATAAAACCACAAAAAATTGTATTAAAGAATAGTTAATAACATGGAAACATTTGTAGCTAACATGCAAGTCATAAAAGTGTATGTATATTATGATTCCATCAATACATCTAGAAGGACAAATGCTGGGTTTTTTTTAATTTACACATACTTTAAAATTTTCTCTATTATTCTTGAATATAAACAAAACAAGTAGTCATTTTAAGAACAAAAAGGATTAACTGTGCTAAACTAAAGATAAAGGCAAAATTTTACATTGGATTAGAGAATACTGTACAACAGCTTTTGTGGAAACAATTTCTAAGAATTAGCTGGGGGAAAAGTCATATTACAGTAGGCTGAGAAGTAAATAGCAGTAAGAAAGCAGAGTGAAATCGTACTACTTTTCAAGTTTGCCAAAAAACTGAAGAAGAAAATTAGGACATGTGTTTGTTATAGAAAGTATAATACTGTACAATTATTTCTTTACATGTTCATGTACCCTATTAACCATGAGATCCTCTTCAAGAGCAGGGTCTATATGTTTTCACTTTTGCATCTATCATTAGTGCTTACCACAATTCCAGGCACATAGAATTGGGGGTAACATAACACCTCGTATTATGAAGTGTCTAAAACCCATGAAAGTATGACTTTTAGATACTATTAAACAATAGACTTGCACCAAACATATTTTATTAAGCCCAATCAACCAAATTTTATGGCCTTAATGCTGTCATATCTATGAGATCTAACCATAACTTTCCACGATATAACTTTCCTATTAAATTGGTTAGGTGATTGACAGAAAAAAAAAAAACACCTCACTTTTCTCTAAGATTAAATATTTCACTAAGTCATAAAAAATTCTGATAGACTAAAATTCTAACTTACATCCTCAGCATTTGGAATTGTTGCAGATACAGCTACAAATCTCATTGGAATAATACTGCTGGTATTTTCTACAGCATGAGATAAAAACTGCACAGTTTTCATTCTGCTGACTACAACTTCAAGAGTTGGTCCACGATTTTCATCTTTTACAACGTGTATCTGAGAAAAAAAATTAAGACTCATTAGCTATAAAAATAAAAATCTGTCTAGTCAATGAAAATGTAAAACAATATTAAACACTCTTTCTTAAGAAAATAAGCATTTTCCACTTGAAGGGATAAAGCAAACATAGAGTTTGGTTGAAAATGTCTTGTTTCTTTATATCCATTCAAATCATCTCTTCATGTTTATCTCTGAAAGTGAATAACGCGTTCACTACCTCATCAATGAGAAACAATCGAACCAGTTGGACCAAAGAGTTGTCTCTCCATTTCCTAGTCATGCTATCCCATTTTTCCTAGAGAAAAAATGCAAGTGGTTTAACATGATAAGGAATTATAATAAGTATTATTAAGATTTTGGTAAAAATTTTAACATGACTTGTTACAAATGATGGGCAATATTTTAGTTGATGTCTTAAAAGTATCCCAAAAGATACTTAAAGATTTTTAAAATTTTAGAGAATTTTGATAATCATGTGTTTAAAAAATTGAACTCCCATTTATTTTTTAAGTTTAATCAAAAATATTCAAAAGTATAGTCTAATTACCCTTTCTAAGCTCTACCAAGGTCCTCCTTGGTACAATACATAATATTTGGTACAATACATAATATTTGGTACACATACATAATATTTGGATAAAGAATACAAGCAATAAGTATGATTACAAATCATCCACAATAACAAACTGCCTATTCATATCTTTTGCCTATTTACTCCATTTGGTTGTTTGTCTTTTACTTGATTTGCTAGTATTCCGTATGTACCCTGAATACTAGTACGTATTGTTTGTTTGCTTCACATTGCAAATATAGTCTTCTACTTTGTATTTTCTTTTAACTTTTTTCCATGGTGAAGAGAAAGAGATATTTGCTAATAAACCAAGGAAATAATAAAATATAAGCAACACCTACTGGAGTTGTCATAATAATATGGGCTTGCTGAATCTCAAATAAGTCATCCATTACTGTATCTCCAGTGAGTTCTTTACAGTTCAATCCTATTGGTCCAAATTTTTCTTTCCAATCATCAAAACGCTGACTACACAGGGCTTTTATTGGTGCCACTACAACAATATAAGATATTTATTTTAAATATCAGTGCAAGTTAAAAATTATTTTCACAAATAGTTAATAAAGTTAGCACACATCTAGGTGCTGCCTAGTATTTATAAATTAAAAATTAACAATATAAACATATTATTTAGAACTATAAAAGTAATCACCAAACAGAACTAAAAATAGAAAAAGAAGTGATTGCTCAGGAGATTGTAACTAAGAATGAAGAAAGGTAGGGTGGAAATTATCACCCTTTGTGATCACTGATTTTTTTAACCATGTGTATAAATTATTTTGATGAAAAAAATTTTAATATATACCTAAAAAAAGAGAATAGAGGTTCCTATGGAAATTTCTCAGATTACAAAATGTTTGATTCTATTTGTTCATTTTCCCTGTCCTTTTAAAAATAAACATGTAAAGGCCAAATTCTCAATTCCAATACTATTTTTATTTGTAAATCTGGGAAAATGTGATTTGAATTTAATGTTAACAGATAAGACCAAATGTGACATGTCTTTATTTAAAAAGTTTGGAAAACCAAATAATAATTCTTATGTCTTGAATTTGAACTTATTTCTTACTTTTACCTCAATGGTTTATCATTATTATAATTAATTATCACTCTTTCAATATATAAATACTTACTGTAAACAATTTTAATGTTCGACCATGGCAATGGTACTTCCATTAACAATCTTGTTATAGCTAGCTCAAACAATACAGTTTTCCCCGAACCAGTTGGAGCACAAATCACAAAATTCCTATCTGTATAAAGAAGCTAAAAAATAAAATTTAATCAACCACAGAATATACAGAAATTTTCAATTCTCAATTTTTTAGAAAATATGCCTTAAGAAGACTCTATGGAATAATAGTTCAAACATCTTTACCTCTAAACTTATTAAAATTATAAGCTGGCTCTAGGTCTATCACCCTCAAAAAATAAAACTATTAATAATTTATCATCTTGTTTGGTCAAAGTAATATGCTAGATAGACCTAGAAGAAAATAATTTCTTTAGCTTCCAGAAAAATTGTTATAAATCTAATAAATATAAACAACCCACCTATGAAAATTACATGCATTCATTTAACAAACATTTTTTGAGCTCCTATAATGTACCAATCACTGAGTGTAGCACTGAAGACAAAAAGATGAATGTGATCTAGTCTCTGCCCTTAGAGAGCACACAATCTAGTAAGAAAAGGCAGATAAGTAGATAATTAAACAAAATACTTACATCATCAAAGGCTTTGGACTGTATATAGTTGAAATACGGGAATTCTTTGAAAATACTTCTAAATTTTGCCGCTGAGAATAACATTAAGGAGTTAAATATTTCAGAATTTTAAAAATCAGTTACTCTTAACTTAAAAATTAAGTTAATATTGACTTTGACAATATTTAATGATGATGCTTAATACTTGCTATTTTATCATAAGAAAGGAATTAACAGATATAGAGGGAAGCACCAAGATGGCAACATAGGAGGCTCCTGAACTTCCATCCTCCCATGGATCCACTGAACAAACAGCTACACGTGGAGCAATTCCCTCTGAGAGAAATCCCCAAACTAGCTGAATGATTCCTTTACAACAGATGAATGAGAAAATACCTACATCAAAATGGGTGGGAAAGGCTGAGAAACTCTTGCCATAAATCCCACTCCTGGCACATCACCATACAATTGGGAAGAAACCCCCAACTCCCAGATCCTCCCTGAGGAGCAGAGAGTTTGGACCACACATCTAGTGCCCCAATTTTTAAGGCTCCTGCCTGAGGGATGGGCTCTCAGAACACCCAGTTCTAGAAGCCAGAAGGGCTCGCATTTACAAGCAAAGAAAATAAGCATCTTTTAAATGGGCACATGAACATCCCACTACCCCCACAGGTATACATCCAGGCTCAGTGCAGAGGGGGCAGGCAAAAATGCCTATCTTCAGTTTCTCCCTGAAAGGAATTTTATTGCATACTTTCTCAGCTGCTGCCTGAAGTTCTGGCTTCTAATCAACCTGCATCTAGGTGCTGACTGACTGCAATCCTCCCCTTTGGGACACTGATGGATCTTGGCACACCCTTAACTTCTGTGAGCCACTAAGAACAAAGGCAGAGGCTTGGATAATCACAAAGGTTTGACAGGTAACTAGGAGCCCAGGCCAGGTTGACTGACAAGGTTCATCTCTTATACCAGACCAATCTCTCAAGACTGGGGAGGTACCTGTTTTGTTTAACGTTCAGAGACCAAGACAGAAAGTCAAGAAAAATGAAGAAACAGGGGAATATGTTTAATAAATAAATAAATAAATAAATCTCCAGAAACTGAACTTAATGAAACAGAGACAAGTGATTTACCTGATAGTTCAAAATAACACATAAAGATGCCCATCAAGGTCAGGAAAGCAATGCATGAGCAAAATGAGAATTCCAACAAAGTCATATAAAATATTAAAAAGTACCAAACAGAAATCATAGAGCTAATGAACAGAATAACTGAACTGAAAATTTCAATAGAAGGTTTCAAAAGAAGACAGATCAACTGAAAGAAAGGATCAGTGAACTTGAAGACAGGGCAGTGGAATTAATGCAATCACGGGAGCAAAACAAAACAAAAAAGAGTGAGAAAGAGTGAAAGCAGCTTAAGGAACTTATGGGACACCATCAAGTGGACCAATATACACATTATAAGGGTTCCAGAAGAAAAAGAGATAAAGGGGAAGAAAGCTTATTTAAAGAAATAATGGCTGAAAACTATCCTAGCCTGGGGAAAGAAACAGACATCCAGATCCCAAAATCCCAGAAATTACTAAAGAAGGTGAATCTCAAGAGACCCACACTGAAACTCACAGTAATTAAATTGCCAGAAGTTAAAGACAAAGAGAGAACCTTAAAAGCAGCAAGAGAAAAGCAACTTGCTACATACAAAGGAATTCCCATAAGATTGAGTGAATATTTCAGCAAAAACCTTGTAGACCAGATTGTGGAATGATATATTCTGGATGCTGAAAGAAAAAACTGCCAACCAAGAATATTTTACCTGGCAAAGCTGTCCTTCAGAATTGAAGGAAAAATAAAGAGTTTTCAGACAAACAAAAACTGAAGGTGTTCATCACTAGACCAGCTTTACAAGAAATGCTAAAGGAAGTTCTTTCAAGCTGAAATGAAAGGATGCTAATTAGTAACAGGAAAACATATAAAAGTACAAAACTCATTGATAAAGGTTGATACATAGTTGCATTCAGAATACTCTAATATTGTAATGGTGGTAATCACTTATAACTGTAGTATAAATGTTAAAAGACAAAAGTACTGTATCTATAATAATTTATTAATGGAGACACAATATTAAAAGATACAAATTGTGACATTAAAAACATAAAATGTGAGGGCTTCCCTGGTGGCGCAGTGGTTGAGAGTCCACCTGCGGATGCAGGGGACATGGGTTCGTGCCCCGGTCTGGGAAGATCCCACATGCCGCGCGGAGTGGCTGGGCCCGTGAGCCATGGCCGCTGGGCCTGCGTGTCCGGAGCCTGTGCCCCGCAACGGGAGAGGCCGCAGCAGTGAGAGGCCCGTGTACCGCAAAAACAAACCCATAAAATGTGAGAAAGTGAATGTAAAATTGTAGAGCTTTTGTACGCATTCAAAGTTAGGTTTATCAGCTCAAAAGAGACTTAAAACTGTAAGATTTTTTTATGCGAGTCTCAAGGTAACTACAAAGCAAAACTCTACAGTTGATGCACAAAGATAAATAGAAAAGAGTAAGAACATACCACTACAGAAAATCATCAAATCACAAAGGAAAAGAGCAAAAGGAGAAGAAAGGAGCAACAGAACTACAAAACATCAGAAAACAATAAAATAACAATAAGTCCAACCTATCAATAAATACTTTAAATGTAAATGGACTAAATTTTCTAATCAAAAGTCATAAAGTGGCTGAATGGATTTAAAAAAACAGGACTAAATTATTTGCTGCCTATAAGAGACTCATTTCAGCTTTAAAGACCCACAAAGAAAGTAAAGGGATGGAAAAAGATATTCTATACAAGTGGAAATCAGCAGAAAGTAGAGGTAGCTCTACTTACATCAGACAAAATACACTTGAAGCCAAAAACTGTAATAAGAGACAAAGAGGTCATTATAATTATATAATCCTCCATTGGGAGGATACAGCAACTGTAAATACTTAGGCACCCAACATTGGAACACCTAAATATATAAAACAAATATTAACAGATCTGAACATAGAAATAGACAGCAATACAATAATAGTAGGGGGCTTCAAGACCCCACTTTCAATAATGGATAGATCATCCAGAAAGAAAATCAATAAGGAAACATCAGACTTAAACTATACCTTACACCAGATGGCTCTAACAGATATACGCAGAGCATTCCCTTCAGCAGCAACAGAATACACATTCTTCTTTTTTTTTTAATTTTTAAAAATTTTTTTTTGCTGTACACGGGCCTCTCACTGCTGTGGCCCCTCCCGTTGCGGGGCACATGCTCTGGACGCACAGGCTCAGCGGCCATGGCTCATGGGCCCAGCCACTCCACGGCATGCGGGATCCTCCCGGACCGGGGCACGAACCCACATCCCCTGCATCGGCAGGCGGACTCTCAACCACTGCGCCACCAGGGAAGCCCTACACATTCTTCTTAAGTGCACATGGAACATTCTCCAGGAAATATCGTATGTTAGCGCACAAAACAAGTCTTAAGTTTTAAAAGAAGACTGAAATCATGTCAAGCACCTTTTCCAACCACAATAGCATGAAAATAAAAATCAATTAAAAGAAGAAAACTGGAAAATTCACAAATATATGGAGATTAAACAACATGCTCCTGAACAACTATTAGGGTCAAAGAAGAAATCAAAAGGGAAATCAAAAACATACCTTGAGACAAATGAAAATGGAAACACAACATACCAAAACTTTTGGGATGCAATAAAAAGCTGTTCTAAGACGGAAGTTTATAGTGATAAGTACAAAAATGAAGAAAAACGAAATACCACAAATAAACAACCTAACTTTACACCTCAAGGGACTGGAAAAGGAGGAACAAAATAAGTCCACAGTTAGTAGAAGGAAAAAATAACAAAGACTGGAGCAGAAATAAATAAGAGACCAGAAAAACAACAGAAAAGATCAATGAAACAATGAGCTGGGTCTTTTTGAAAAGATTAACAAAATTGACAAAACTATAGCTAAGATAACTAAGAAAAAAAGTAGAGATGATTCAAATAAATAAAATCAGAAATGAAAGAGGAGAAAACACAACTGATAAGACAGAAATACTAAGGATCATAAGAGACTACTATGAACAATTATATGCCAAAAAGTAGATAATCTAGAAGAAAAGGAAATTCCTAGAAACAAGAACCTATCAAGGCTGAATCATAGAAAATCTGACAGATCAATTACTAGTAAGGAGACTGAATCAGTAATCAAAAATTTCCCAACAAAGTCCAGGACCAGATGGCTTTACTGGTGAATTTACCAAATACTTTAAAAGAATTAATACCAATCCTTCTCAAACTCTTCCAAAAACTATAAGAGAAGGGAATGCTTCTAAACTCATTTTATGAGGCCAGCATTCCACTGATACCAAAGCCAGAAAAGAACACCATAAGAAAAGAAAATTACAGGACAATATCCCTAATAAACATAGATGCAAAAACTTCAACAAAATATTATGAAACTGAATTCAACAGTACATTAAAAGGATCATACCCCATGATCAAATGGAATTTATTCCTGGGATATAGGATGGTTCAACATCCACAAATCAATCAACGTGATATACTGCTTTAACAAAGCAAAGAATAAATATCATATCATCTCAATAGATGAGGAAAAAGCATATGACAAAATACAGCATCTTTTCATGATAAAAACTCTCAAGAAACGGGGTACAGAAGGAATACACTTCAACATAATAAAGGCTGTATATAACAAGCTCACAGCTAACATTCATACCCAATTACGAAAAACTGAGTTTTTCCTCTGAGGTCAGGAACAAGACAAGGATGTCCATTCTTGCCACTTTTATTTAGCATAGTATTAGATATCCTAGACATGGCAATCAGACAAAAAAAAAAAAAAAAAGAAAAGGAATCCAAATTGGAAACAAAGAAGTATAACTGTTTCTATTTCCAGGCGACAAGAAACTATATATAGAAAAACCAAGACTACACACACACAGACCAAAACAAAACAAAACAACACAAAACAAATAAACAAATTTTAAAAACTGTTACAACTAATAAACAAATTTAGTTAAATTGCAGAATACAAAATCTATATACA